CCCCGGCCCCGCCAACAACGGCGGCAGCAAGTCCAGCAAGAAGAAGAACCAGAACATCGGCTACAAGCTGGGGCACCGCCGGGCGCTCTTCGAGAAGCGCAAGCGCCTCAGCGACTACGCGCTCATCTTCGGCATGTTCGGCATCGTGGTCATGGTCATCGAGACTGAGCTGTCCTGGGGCGCCTACACCAAGGTACCACCTGCCTCCCGCTGCTGCTTAGGGCCTTTCGGCACCGGGCGAGGCGACTCCCCTTCCCCTTCCCCTTCCCCAGCTAGCCATAGCCGGGGCGACCCCCCTCTCCCGGCTGCTGTTAGGCAAGGCGACCCCCTGTCCCTGGCCTGGGCTGCTACCGTGAGGTGTCCCCGGCATGGGGCAGCCCGGTACTCGCGGGTCTCTGAGGGACACCCGTGTCTTCCCGTTGCAGGAGTCGCTGTATTCCCTCGCTCTGAAATGCCTTATTAGCCTCTCCACGATTATCCTGCTCGGCCTCATTATCGTGTACCACGCAAGGGAAATCCAGGTAATGCTTTGCTTTGTGAATTACTGGGGGTTGCCGTAGCAGCGATTGCAGAGTCAGTTTTTCTGAAGCTGTTGCTGTCGTAAGTACTTTGTGCTTCCCGCGGGTTCAGAAAACGAAAACAAAAACAGTCACTTAGTGTTTCCCAAAGTTCAGTGAACGTATTTCAGCCCTGGGGAGAAATATGATAGGCTACATGACATATGCGTGCCAGGAAGCTTTGCCTGCCAGGAGCTGTTACCTGCAATTATGCTGTAGGATCAGTTTGTCCCGAGGTTATAACACGCTTTGTCTCTAACATACCTTTTGTTTTCTGTAGCAGTTATAGAGCAACGGTCTTTTATTTCCCAATAGCTAAATCTTATGTTGTGTGTTTCCTGTGGATGACAGGCTTAATTGTCAGGGAAAAGACTTCGCTAACTTCTGGGTATGTAATCTTCGTTATGCTTTCTCAGAAACTAGCATGCTCTAGGAAAATATTTGAAGAGATGGGGAACACTTATGTTGACCTTGTTTTATTTAGTGCAACAGAAACTGCAACCACAGTGGAAACCTCCAGAGGAGGTGACAGAGGAAAACTGTCAAGATGGGTAGGGCTAAAGGTAGGGGGCACGTAATGATCAAAGCCATAGAACAAGTCTAACAGATATTATCTATCCTGCATTCAGCTTTCCTGACTTCTGATTGTCTTTGATCAAGAGATGGAAATTTGTGATTTTAGCTAAATTGAACCGTGTAACAGTTTTCAAAGTTTTGGAGTGAAAAATATCTTATCCATAGATATGTTGGTGCTTTTGCTATTTCTCTTTGGAGAGACCTTGGGATGCTGGCTGGAATGACAGTTTTCAAGGGCAAAGACGACTTTTTCAGTTGTACCGATTAAGAAAAAAGAGAAATTAAGAATTGTACACTTCCCTCCTTCTATGCAAATCAGTACCATAGCAGTTCTTATGTGAAAAGGTACCCTAGTATTCTACCTAGACTAATGTTAAAGTATTATGTTACTGAACTGTTTGCCAAATTGGATCTTGCCCTGCGGTCTTTACACATGCAAAACTTCTATTTCTGGCACAGAACCCAGTTTCTTTGCATTAGTATCAAAGATGGACAACTGCTTGACCTTATTGTACTCAATAAATAAGTATTACTGTAAAAGAATATCACTAGAAACTAGTGATGAAGAGGTTTCTGTATTTGTGGAAAAATAAATAAAGGTAGCTGCTGCAGTGTGGGAGCTGCCTTCTCCAGTGTAGCTTGCTGTAAGTGGTGCTTGAGGAGCTAAGAACAAAGCTGAAAAAACAAGCTCTGTAAGAATTTGGATTATTTTATGCATTTTCCAGAGACTTTAAATATGAAATCATATACAAGGTAACTAAGCAGTTATGGGTCTCTGTACACATCAGCTTACAGTAAGTTACTCCAGCATTTATATTCAGAGTATATTATAGTCTTTCAGAGATTTGTTATGGATCAGAAAAGACAATCTTTTTAAAAAAACTCAGTTGCATTTCTTTGATTTTTTTTTTTTGTATTGATCATATTAAAGAACTTCCTCATGCATGAGACTTCATGGAGAAGTTATTCAATTGCATGACTTAATCAAGGTTAATGTAGTTTTCAAAACTGCAGGTTATAGCAACATACAACAAGCATACCTGTTTGTAAAACAGTCATACCCTATGTTTTTGTCTGAAAGACACTGTGGACTGCAATGATCGTGGCAGGGGCCAGAGTAAGCTGGAACTCCAAGGGGCTCTTATTCATTTTGAAAATGAAAGGGAAGTTCTCTTTTCAAGGAGACTATTGGAAGGAAAGAGCATTGTACCACCTCTAGCTATTAGGTATCTGATAACTTTTTAATTTAGGCACAATATGTTTGTACACATCCACTTCTTAAAAAATAAGATGAAAAACATGCAGAGCAACATTTACATCTGTCTTTGGTGATGAACTTATGCTACAGCTGAAATCTGCAGAAAAGAGGTACCTCCAAAATGCTTTAGCTTAGAAATGTGCAGAACTTCCTCCAGGTTTAAAAGAAAAAAAAAAGTGTATAAGCCCCATAATGTTTTTTTAAATAATCTTAAAAGCTGCCTTTTTTCTGAAGGGATTCTTCTAGGGTCAATTTCTCTAGTCTTTAATTCAGACAAATTGCCCTCTAAGTGCAGTGGAGTCTTCCGTGAAGGAAGTCTGTAGAATCATGCCCGCAGATGGTTGGTTGTGTCCTGGAGGACTGTGTACCAGCTATTTGTTAATCCTGTTCAAATCTGGTCATTCCTTTTGATTTTTCTCTGGAAGGTACTTAGACTTAACCAGTAAGTATAGTGTAAATTAGCAGGAATTCACTGAGAGAGCACATTGTGTTGTATGGAACAGGAGAGCATCAGCACGCTCTGCTTGCAGTGTCGTATGTTTTACAGTCTGATAGAAGCAAACTTGCCAAAAGAAAAAAACAATTTCTTCTATGAAACATGAACCAAAATATGTTGGGGAGTAAGACGAAAGTGTAGCAATTACTACCACTTGCAGATTTAATATTTAGAAGCACCTGGCAACCTAAAATACCCGCTAACCGAAATCAGCTTCTTCATTTTTTTCAGTAGTCTGTTCCATTGATTTCTTGGTAGGAAGGCTGAAGAGCCATGCTGCAAGCGAGCCTATGGCAGTGCCTAATGGCATAGAAGGTGACTGTAATCTTTCTGTTTAAATGACCTTGCCTGTGCGTTCTGCTTTGACAGCAAATGGTCAGTTAAACCGGACTAGGAGTTAGCCTGTCCCAGAGGTGCCCAACGTCCTGTTTTGGAAAGGAGGTTTCGTCAGACTTACAGAGCTTCTTCGCAAGAGCGTTACATGGATGCGAGACAAATGGGCTTGCGGTGTTTTTATTTTTATCTTTATTTATTTATTTATTTACTGGTTAGACTGTAGTTGCTAAGCAGTGGAGGAGCGGCGGCCCCTTGCGCCTGCCGGGTGCGCGGGGTCTTGCCCGCCGCCTCCCCGTTCAGCACCGCAGACAGCTCCGCGTGCCGTGGTCTTCTATGCGTTCTTAACCGGTTAGCAAAACAGATTTCATTTATTTATTTAATTAGTTATTTTAAATCTTCCGAAGAAACCTGCCCAGCGTTTGACAGGTCAAAGTCTCCAGAATGGTGTGGCTACAGTATTTAGACCAGAATCACTGTTTGGATGCTGCCTGGTCCTGTGAAATATCTGAAATGTGAAAATGTGTGGGTGTTTTTTTTTTTTTTTCAAATTGTTTTTCAGTGATTGCAGTGGATTCGTTGTTCTGTTTAACTCTCAGAGTTAAGCAGGAATTGCTATTATATTTATTAATGTGAGTTATGTTAAGACCACAATAAAATCAGATGGAAACCAGGTAGTTTTAAATGATGACTCTTAGCTTACATTATCATTTACAGAAAAGAGGAAAAAATCTACAAGCCATACTGCCTTCACCTCCCTCCCCCCGAACAAAATCAAGTAAGCAACAATAATGATGTTGGACTTAAGTATGGTGACAACTCCAAATCTGTGTAATCTCCTTTTGGTTTATTGTTGTCATGCTTGTAATATTGTTAAAAACGTCACATTTGAGGGATTACGAAGTACTCATTACTCTTTCTCTAGGCTTGTGTGGTTGTTGATTCAGTTCTTCAAATAGTGTCCTTTGTTTGGAAGGCCAGTAGGAAAAATATAACTCGTCATTATCCCAGCCTAGATCAGGTATTTCTCTGACTATTGCTCCAGTTGAGGAATACACGTTTGAAGAGGTGGAAGAGGAAAGAGCTAAGAAGACAACATCATCCAATTATCATTATAATGTATAAATTACCCACTTCATGCATAAACAGTTTGTTACTTCATGGTATTTTACATAATTAAAACAGCACAATACAACATGATTAGAACTGTTGTTTCTAGATAACTGATTATTCCATTCCACCCTTCTCTAATGGAATTCATTGTTAAATTAATAATCAGGTGGAAGTTAAGAAACTTTTGGATAACAGTTTGCATGGTAAAGCTTAAGTTGTATTACCTTTACTGGGAAGTAGACATTGCTGTCTCTCTCTCTCGTACTGCTGGGGATGGAAATGCTTTCTAAATGTGCATTCCGAAGTTTTACTGGCACTTTCTTATATCACTCAGAACAAAGAATTAAAGCCCAAATTCTCTAAGGTTTCTCGTAAAATGCCCTTAATCCCTTCTCTTGGGTATTCTGTCACAGCCTGGTATTTCTTCAGAGATGATTCTTACTGGGTAGGAGGAATGTGTCCACTGGGAAGTTTGTGCTTTGGTGCTGGAAAACTTAAGAGTATCCCTTCTGTAAATAAACGTTGCCCTTCTATTGCCCTTTCTGAATAATGGTAACCTGTGTTTTCCTGGACTGAATCTGAACCTCTTCTCCTCCTTTTTCACTGATACAGATGTTCTTACTCATAGAAAAAAATGAAAATTGTTGATATTTAGCAGAAATGAGTAGAAACTTTCAATTTCTTGTATGTGTATTGAGGTAGAACTTAGGTAGAACTCCTATGGACAGTCATGCAGACTTCAAAGTTAAGGTTAAGCCACTGCTGTCACAGCAGAGTTCATTTTTAGAATTCAATCCATCACTTTCCAGGCCTCCAGGGAGAAAGTACCTTTAGTCCCTCGAGCGTTCTGAAGTGGTGGGAAAATCACGTGGTACTGATTTGCAGTGAAACACTTTGAGTCTTCCTTAACTTTATGGAAAATTGCCACTGATGTGAGCCCAGACATCTTGCTGAAGAGTCAAGAATCTTTTCACCTTTTCTCTCTCTCCCCTGAAAATGAAGAGGAGGAACAGGCCGTACTAGGAAACAGCAGTGAATATTAATAAATACATTTCCTGACTTATTAGTTAAATAAAGTCCATAATGCATGATTATAATCAACACTGTTTATGGAACTTTAATTATCTTACTGGCATCAACGGAAAGTTCTTCAGTGAAAATCCTGCACTCAATAACAAATATGAAGCT